CACCTCTTTTTCCTTTACTCTTTTTTGGCTTCTTGTCTTGTGTAGCTCAAAACTTTTAAAGGACAGAACTAGATACGCAGGAAACCACAGCCATGTTATAGCTATAATGTGCCAGTAGTTGAAAAGAAATTTAGCTCTCACTGTATAGAGTCAGCAGTTTACATTATTTTTTCCATGCTGGCTTTTAGCCAGGAAAAAAATCCACTCTTCTAATAATCTTTTAGAGATGGGAGCTATTTCTTAAGTGCCTTCAACCATGAGCTGGTCTGTCATTGAGCGATCATTGCCACACCCGGTCAGCTAATAGGAAGATTTCAAATAGCTGGTGGACTCTGATTTAGAGCAACTCAATCTTGTCTCTGTTTTAAGACATATTAACCCGAGACGCCGCATCTGTCCAGAACAGGAAAGCACATTGTTCTTCGTGTACTTCCCCTTTAAAGGAAGGCTGGAAAGTGTGTTAAATACTGTTTACTGCTCACCTGCTTGTTACTGTCATCCCTGTATTTTTTTCTATGTTGTCATTATGTTTCTGTGTTGTTATCACTCAGTCATTTTCCCTGAGGAAAAACATTCTTGGCACTTGTCATTTATATACCAGGATACTAGTTTTAAACTGCCTTCACTGGTTTTAAACTCTCTTGAAGAGATCCTGGTGTCAGAAACCTTTCTTCCGTGGAGAGGGTTGGCTTAAGTGAGGACCAGGCTGAGCACAGAGAATCCCTAACACTTTGGAGAGGCCTGTCAGTGCATTGATGCAGTGAAAACTGTTGCCGTGGTTACTGTGCAAGGTACCTGCTTTTTCCTGCTCTGGACCAGGCAGTGAACTGGCAGAGAATGTTCACTTTCCTGCAGTGCCTTTCAGCAGAGAGAATTCTCTTGGATTTAGGGCTGAGCAGTTTTTTTTTTTTTTTATGCCTATGTGATGTGTAACAAACCCATGACTGGATCCAGCCCCACAGGAGGCAAGTACGTTTAGTCCTCTTCTAGCCCCTGGCTGTGTGACAGCCTGGAGGAAGTCCAGTTCTTAACCTTGCTGATAGCTATTGGATAAGTGGTTGGCAACCTGAAAGAGCAGTCAGTGAGAGAGACATGAAAAGAAAAAAAAAAACTAAACAAACTGCATGCTTCATGAGTCTCTTGGCTGTGATGCTGGAATCATCTGTGGTGATTTAGTGGGAACAGACGAGATTAAGTATGGCCTTGGAGTAACAATACACATTGTTGGGAGCAGAATGGTTTTAATACATTTTGTTCTAGGTTGTCGACCGCCAGTAGCCCAGTTATCTTTTACTTTATTTGTCACATAGCACACTGTGAAATAGCTTGAATAAGACTTACGATGAAAACACAAGTTTTGAAGAGTGCGTAACTTTCCCTTTCAAAACTGCCTTGCATGTGACGTCCTAAAATCACCTGTTCTAAATATTGTTTCTCAGTTGCTCAAAAAAAACAAGGTAAAGAAAATTTAAATATATATTAAAATTTGTAACATTCTTTGTCAGTAGTTCAAAGGTTGGCTTTGTAGTCAGGTATGTCTAACTTATTGTTAAATAAATGAATGTTTACTGTGGAGAATTTTGAAAATAGAGGAAGGTGTAATGAAGAATAAACACCTATAATCCCATGCGTAGAACAGTACCGGGCACACATCAAGCACTCACAGATTTGTTCAGTGACAGTAGAGACAAATACTGTTAATATCATTTGGGTGTATTTATGTTTAAGGATTTTTTCATGTGTACTTTTTTTTTAAGAAAAAAGAGATCAAAACGTGCAAGTACAAAGTAGTTTCACTTTAAATTTTAAAAAAAAATCACTGCCTTTGGACATTGCTTTTATTATTATTATCATTACTCTTTTGTGATAACGGGTAGATTTGAATTTGCCTGTGGCCCTTAGTAAGGGGCAGCCTCACTTCAGGTGTGTCTGTTAAGTGACAGTAGGAATTTTTTTTTAATTTAAAAATTTAATTGGTTTTATTCAATGATTCATGAGTCAGGAAGCATCCCACCTAGCAAGTTGAAAAGAGCTCCCATAATTTCATTAGGTATCTCCTTAAATATGCAACCTTAATTCCATACTCTTTTTCATAAAAACCTCTGGCGTAAGGGTCTTTTATCCCTACCGCCCGCACCTGCCTCTAGGCCATCTTGCTGCTCCTGTGTGACTGGCTTCATCTGCCCGAGTCACCGGCTCTTCTGCCAGCCTCTCCTGTTTGCTCTGTTTCCCTGCTTGAACCATGTGCTCAGTCTAAATAGTCTCTTTTGCTGTTCCCCCCGCCCACCCCATTTGAAGTCTCCTTTTCACATCGTCCTCCAAGCTGGCATACCTGTCCTGTTTCTTCAGTGGCTGAATTACTTGCTGTGGGGCCCGGCTCCAAATCCTGCATTTTCTATTAATCTGCTTACGTTGGTAAGCCAGGTCATCTCCAGAGGCCGTATTCTAGGTGACCCCTGTAGAGGAGCTTGTACAAGTTTCAGGTGAATAGGTTTATTTTTGAGGTAAAGACTTATGTTTGACTTTTAAGACTTTAAGTTACTAGCTGTCATAAACTAAACTCCTTCCCTGTCCCCCTCCCCTGAAAAAGAGTAAGAAATTGGTGTGCTTGTCCTGACATCTTTTTTTCTATTGCAGTTTAAACTGTTCAAAAATTCTCAGAGTTCAGTTAGTTCTCCTTTGATTTTTGTTTTTTTTAATTTGGTAACTTTGGACAGTGGCTAACTTGGTTTCATCAGTTGTGTGAGTTTTGGTTGTATCCACTTCTCCTGTCCTCAAACTCTGCCTTCAAGACTACCTACTTTGTAATTAAAATAGGCCTGTGTTGGGGGGATCCTCACTCCTCATTAGACAGAGTTAATCTAGGTCACTTTGGTAAGTCACAGAGACCCTGACTTAACCTTAACTTAAGTGTAATTTTAGGCCTTCTGAGTATCTACTTCTCTATTGAAAAAAATTATTTTTTTATTTTTGAGGGGAATAATTAGGTTTATTTACTTATTTATTTAATGGAGTTACCAGGGCTTGAACCCAAGACCTCCCGCGTGCCAAGCATGCGCTCTACCACTGAGCTGTACCCTCCCCCCAGTAGTTACTTCTCTTAACCAATGGAGCAGTGGAGCTTTTATCTACATTCTTCTGCTCTGCGTATCAGGAAGCCACACAAATAGGGAAAAGTTTTGAAAAAGACATAGCCCCTGTTTTGAACTAACTACCTACTTAACTGTTGAATAATAAAAATGTGATATAGATTGAATGGGCCACAAACATATGGGTAGCATAACACAGCACATAGCTTTTGGAGTCAGTAAGATCAGAATTTGGATCCTGAGCCCTCAATTCGCTGGCGCTGTGAGTATCTTATCATCCTTGAGCCTCACTCAGTTGCTCCTGTGAAATGAGCAAGGGAAGTCATGGGGAGAATCAGCTGAGTTTCCTTTCTGCTTCTTTCCTTTGCAGGATTTAGTAAAGAGTTGTGATGCCTAGAGAAATCATTCCAGGCTTCTGAAGGGTGAAGACTTGAGCTAGGCCTTGAAGACAGGCTAAGATTCCACTAGGTTGAACGGAGAAGAAAAGGCACTCCAGGTTTGGAGAACCAGTTGAGCAAAAGGCCTTGGACAAGTCCATAGAGCCCTGAAAGCATATGCAGGAGGGCACGTGACAAAAGCAGTGCCTAAAAAACGTGTGTCAGAGGGCTTGAGGGGAAGAGTCTGGAATCCGAGGGACGAGGAATTTATAATTTAGGCGTGAGCGAGGATAGGTAGTCAGGGAGTGGTGCAGAAAGAACAGCTACATGAGGCATTTCCAAAGACGAATCATTAGGGCTGGTGTGTGAGGCTGTGGGATAAGCGAACTTGCAAGGGTTAATAAAGCAGGCGATTACTGTGCCATTCATTCATTCATTCATTCTAAAAATCCTCCAGTCGAAAACCTGGTGCTACAGGGTTCTGTTCCAGGTATTGGTGATTAACCACTAAGTAAAACTGAAGTCTCTGCTCTTTTGAAGCTTACTTTCTAGTGTTAATTGTGTTAAAAATTTAGTGGCAGCAGTTTTGGCATCTTGAGATGTCATTATGTAGGTCATGACTCTTTTATCATACCTGAAAGTCGGGTGGGAAATGTCAATGAAAGCACATCCAGATCTTCATGAAATCAATATAGAATATTTTCACGTTTTAGAATTATAAAGGTAAGAATAAAACAGTTACACTGAAAATGCTGTATTTCACAGATCAGAGAAAGTGGTGCTACTATAGATTTAGTAATTTGCCTTCTAGTTAGTAAATTTCCCGGACTGTCTTGAAGTTTGGAACACCTAGGGAATTGTTGAGTTCTGAAAGGTTCCTTTTGTAGGCTTTGGTTTGAATGAAAATTAGGTTCATTTGACAACCAGGAGGAAGTAATTAGATTGAACAAGACTTTAGTGCTTGATGGCTTTTTTTCCACGTGATTTTGTTGGCTTATTTTTGAAGTAGTGCTCTGATATTTTAGTTTCCAGTCTGAGTTTTCTTCAGTTCTTTAAGGTGAAAAATTTTAGGTTCATACTAGATAACTCCTTGACAAAAAATGTTGATGTAAGAAATGGAGAAGTTTGAAAACTAAAATATAATTTTCCATGGCATTTTGCAAGCTTGAATTAAAAGAACATTATCTAATTAAAGTTATGATACATTTAATATTCATTTATTTAGGAAAACTTCTCTCCCTTTTATTTAATGTACCTAGTTTTGTTTTACGGTGTTTTTATGGTAACCACAACTAATCAGCAATAACAATAAAGAGTTTTCAGAATACTTAAGTAAAGAAATAAAGGGATTTGGACTTAATAGTACTGATACGATTTCCTGCAATAAAAGGATAAGAAAAATATTCCCAAAAAATGATTAAAACTCAAATTACTATAAATATATTACCCCCTCAGTATGTGAATTTCTCAGCTAAAAAAAAAAAGGCAAATTTTTTTTCTTAAGGATGATTTGATTTTTTTCAATCTCCTTCAGGTAAAAGTGCAGTTTTAAAGTGTCTACTGGACATTCACAAAATTTTTAAGGAAAATGACCCAGCTTACATTCTCAATGATCTCTACATCTCAGACTACTGTGTGTGGATTCAGAAAGCCAAGTAAGTCTTGAGTTATGCATTTATTTTACATGTTGCCATTTGCGGGACACCTACTTCCCCAGGATGAAGAAAATGAAATAACCTGGAGGTAAGTTTTAATGAGGGAGAAACCCATACAGCCACCAAACACTGAAGAAGTACTGGATCGAAGGGGGAGCTTGGCAAAGTTGTTTAGGGAGGAGATGACCAAAAGTTAATTTTACTAGAAAAAAATTGGTACAGCCTAGTAAATAAGTGGTAAAACAGATGGTTGTGACTCTTCATTGTTGCTCTGTTGACTTTGTTCTACGAATCTCAAGACTGGGCATCTGAACCTGTATCCTTGGTTGACTCACAGTGGGGTGTGGATGTGAGTGTGTGCGAGCATATGTGTGAACGTCACAGGACACCAGCCTTATTCAACCTCATCACAGTGAGAGCTGTGCCCTCATTGTTAACCACTGGCCTGTGGAACCCATTATTCAGAGTCTAACCTTCAGCCTTAATAAAACTATGTGAGGGTCTGAAAACTCACACATGGGCTCCATGAACTTGGCATGCAAAATTTTTTAAAGGTGTTTACTATTGCCTTACTCAAGGAAGTATATCAAGTTTAAAAATGCAGTGGATTTTACTACTTACAATTTCAGTAGTAAGAGACTATTGATTGAAAACGTGCGAAGAGAACCCTTGTTTGGAATAATTCTTCAGTGCTATAGAAAATGATGGTGACTTGGAAGAAGAATGATCATGATATTTTTATTATTACTATGACTGACACATGAATGCTTTAGGATGGCTTTTAATGCCTGTTTTGAGTGAGCCATTATATAGAATTTATTTTTGATTTCTGTTCACGGGGAAGCAATTATATTGCAGAGTGAAATAAAAAACCTGAGGCTATACCTGTTGTAAGCAAAATGCTTAGGGACTGTGCGAGATAACGCCTAATAACGTACAGCAGGTGGTGTCGGCGTTCGTGTTGGAAATCTATATTTTGCCAGATGGAAAATTGCATCCTTAACCCCTGAGGTCATAATGGTATGTCATCACTTCATTTGATCCTCCTGCTAATTGAGCTTATCAAATACCCTGCTGCCGTTTCCTGTTGTTTTCATAATAAAATTAAATTGAAATAGTCTATTTGTGAGAGTTTAGGTTTTTCTTTTTTCTTTCAGGGTGAGGATTTTATAAGCATGTAATGAGCATTGAGGTTTGTGCTAGGATCCCATTTCTGAGTGTCTCCTTTCTCTGTGACATTTTTTTATTGACTAGAGAGAAGATCATATTTCATGGAAGTAGAAGGGTATATGCCCTTAAGTTGATGTGAGGATTAATAGGACGTTCTTTTACTTAAAAATTTTTTCCCTTGGTTTTAAGTTATAGGAAACGAAATGAAAATTTTTTAGGTTCCTAGTAATTGTTATGATAATAGCAATAAAAAAAAGAGATTAATGTATTGGGGAGTGAGATAGAAGAGAGAAACCAGCAGAAACTCTTCAGAATACTTTGGAAAAAAAATTTTCGGCTTTACCAATTTGACTGTAACTTTCCTCTCCCTAAATAGGCTGTGTTGTTTTCACTTTGGGTGTTTAATTCTAACTAGTCTACTCCAGCTATTTTGTCTCCCCCTTGAAATAAGATAATCTAATTTTAATTAAATTTTCTAATTTCATTCTTAATTTTTGAAGCACAACATAATTGAACTTTCTAGTATCGTCTTTACTGTGAACTTTCTTGGCTCTGAATTAGTAATGCTGCAGTGAATGTCCATAATTTTCATAATTAATTTCTTTTTTACTTTTTACCTTCTCTTTTATTTCTTTCCCATACAGTTTATTAGTGAAATCTAGCACCTTATTTTTATGTTTTAAAATAGTTCTGCATTTTCCTTAGTCTCTATTTAATGTTTTTGATTACAATAATAAAGACTTTAAACTTTTATTTGAAATACCAGACAAGTGCTAAATTCTGACTAGCATTCCATTTTTACAGTCAGACATTTACTTTGGCAAAAACTTACTGGAATGCAGGTAGCAAAGTCATTCTTACACTGAATTAAGGAAGTTAGGAGAACAGTCATCGTGAGTTTTGCTTTGGTGCTGTGTGGTTGGTTTTCCGTGTAGTATCTGTGTCTTGTAGAGCACATCTGCACATCTTAAAACCCGAAGCGCCTGTAGTTTTGTTCTGAGCTACAGACTCTGCAAATTATTTATCTGAAAAGGAAGACTCCCTGCCATCCTTCCCTGTCAGCTTCAGTGGAAGTTCCAAGTGCGGCGGTCGCTGCTGCAAATACGCCCTGGGTGGCAGCACGAGGAAGTGGAAGTGGTTTGCTTGAGGCCATATAGCTTATAAGGAGTAGGCCTGTGATAGTGTCAGGTCTTCTGGCTCCAGCTTTTTCCAGATACCCGCCTAGGCAGCCAGTTGCCTTTACCCGTGGTTGGTAGGGGAGTTGGCGGGGGTAGCCCTCAAAGCCCTCCCTTCAGAGAGCTCTTCCTGTAGGAAGAGGGATTAAGGATTCGTCTATCTTCTGCGGGACGTTCCCACAGTACTTGGTTTGGAGATCATTTGGGCACATGTCCTGCCTGCATTGTAGCAATTTGGGTGCCTATCTCTTTTTCCCTCTGAGCTTTTGAAGTCCATGTGAATGAGCACCTACCTGGGCCCATCACAGTCCCTTGGGAGCACAGCAAATTTTAGTGGAATTTTGAATGGTACCTAGCAGAGGCAGTTGAAGGAGTGTTTCTCATTGTTTTTTAAAAAGAAGCAAACTGTCAATCAGCTCTAACTTACTTCTGTTGAAATTTTTAGCTATGTTCAGTATAAGATTTCACCCTTCTCCTTGTTTCCTTCCTGTTGGGCTGCACGCACCAGTAGCACTGACGGTTCTGACCCACTGCAAGTTTAGTATTTTACACCGTTTGATGTAAACTGGGGTGGGAAAGCTTGCACCATAAAATATGTCCCAGCTCTGCCTCTCAATGGCCAGAAGACCTTAGCAAGTCACTCCATCACTTCATCTCATGCAGCCAGTGTAATAATAATTTAATATTACTAAAAATATTAATATTTTCTCTAGTTGTTTTCCAGTGCATTTTTAAGCCAGTGGAAATAACACAGCACATATCATTTTTTAACTTGTTTAATACTTATAATAGTACCTTATATATTATTTTCTTTTGCAGCATAATGTATGTAGTATAGTATTTTGAAAAAAATAAGTAATTGGTTCCTTATTATAAAAGAGGTGCCCACTGAAGAAAATTGGATACTTTATGGTTTTCATGCATGTTGTATTTTGAAATGACAGGGGATAGAGTATGGTATTAGTTTGTTTTTCTGCATGGAAAAATTTTGGTTGTTTCTTTTTTTAAAAAAAGAAATTGAAATCTAAAATCCCGACTAATTTCATTCAGTACAAGTCTGAGCTTGTTGCGAAGGTTTTAAATCTTTGTTTTTCCCTCTAGAATAAAGGTAAGTAGTTGTGGGTGAAGAAGAAAATAGATGTCTTTGAAAAGCTGAACCTCTGCGTCAAACCAATAAATTGTTTACCCTAATTAATACTCTTAGTGCATTTATTTTTTTTCACTGCTTTTTAGCATTCTCCGCCCCCACTCCCATGAAATCTTTTGCAACCCTTTGGACACTAATTTACAAAATTTGTAGAGGGAAACAACTCCATCACTAAATAGTTTTATTTCATTTGATAAATCCTGGACCTCAGTTTCCTCAATTGTGAATAAACCCAAGCCATTTCTGCACTGAAATCTTAAAATTCTAGAAAACTTAGGACCTTACCCTTGGTTCATAGTGCTTCCATTCCTTCCTCTGTGTATGTGCTTTGATAGGGGATAGGGTTGTGTTCCTGAGAACAGCATAGCTCTGTTCCTTTTGGCTTTCTTTTGTTTCTGGTTTATCTGCCGAAAGCCATGGGAGTAGGGGTAACTCACATGCAGGGGTAAGATACCAGCACTGGATGTAAAAATGCAGTTATTTTTTTCAGCCACTGATTATTGAGCCCTCCTATGTGCCAGGTACTGAGACGGTGGCGGGGAGGATACTCTGGTGAGCAGGAGCCGTGCCATCTGAAAGCTGACCTTCCAGTGGGGAGTACAGATGTAAGGCAAATATTGTGCTGTGGCCTGAGAGTGGTTACGGTGGGGAAGGATGGATGCTATGGAAGCACCTGGGAGGCCACATGCCTAGTCATGCCTAGCCTTAGGGGCTAGGAAACAGCTTCTGGAAGAAAGAGTTGAAGCTGAGAGCTGGAAGATCAGTAGGGGTTGGTCAGATGCAGTTGGGGAAGCAGGGGTGGAGAGTATTGCAGACAACAGGGACAGAAGGATGTGGACCTTTTAAAGAGCTCAAAAGCTCGGGATGGTTGGATCTTGGTACAGGAGTGGGAGGAAAGAAATGAGGCCAGTGAGTTCGTGTAGAGCCTTGGCCACATAAAGATGTTTGGAGTTTGTCCTGGGAGAGCAGGGAGCCACTGAAGATTTTACGCTCCGGACCATCTGCGTGAGCGACCTGGTGAGATGTGGACCAGGAAGGATCCATCGGCTCATGTTGTGGGGAAGGGATTAGGGTAGAGGCAGGGCTCAGACTAGGCGGGTGATCTAGGCAAAAGGCAGTTGTAGCCTGAGGCAGGGCAGTGGAAGTGGGGAAGGGGACTGATGGTCAGGTTTAAGGGGTGGACGAGGCAGAACTCAGTAAGAATTGGATCTCAGGGGAGAGTGAGGAGGGAAGGAGTCAGAGGTATGAGATCCAGATTTTGGCTCAGCCACTTAACTGGGCCATTGGCAGTGTGTTTGCTGGAATTAAGTAATATTGGAGAGTGTTGGAAGAGACGTGAGAGGGAAGACAAGGAGTTCAGTTGTAGCAATGTTGATTTGAGGTCTCTGAGGAGTATCCATAACAAAAGAGTCAGGAACATTTGGATCGCAGCTGGAGAAGAGGTGGACAAAGAAGGGAAATGAATTAATAGCAGAACATGAAAAATGGTATCTGGTTGCACAGTACTG